TTGTGTGTCCTTATTTTAAGTATAAAATAATTGTGACTGTACATTCCTTCTGGTTTTGGGTTAGTACACAATTATAATTTTGCATGTATTACATGTATAGTTGGAGAGTTCATATAAAAAGAAAGATGAGTCTCTCCGTGTCGCTATACATATTTTTAAGCTTATTGATTTCACTTTATTTGTATATTGCAACAGTTTACATAGATTCAACTTCAGCCTGTTTTGCCCACCAGTTCCAGACAAGACCTATTTCTATGATGGAGATGTAAAGCTGTATATTATTAATATGCTAATAATGTTCCCCACATGCACAAATGATTTCTTCAATCACTTGCATATAGTTGTTCTAAAGCTGAATTGAATTGGGCTGACCTCCCTTCAATCACAGACTGGAGTGGAACCACTGTAATACACTGATTCCAAATCCCAAGTCTCACAGACCTGAGATTCCACTTGCAGTAGACAATCTCCAAGGTAAAGAGGATCCTAGCCACAAAAGGCTTTTTTTTAAGGAAATGATCAGTACCACATCCCAAACTGACAGATGACCTGTCTCAAAAGCTTAAGGTTATTAAAGAAGCCCTGGAACAACTCATACTGAAGTGTCCAATGACTCAACCGTTATTTCTGCAATATTGCCCAATGAAACTGCCCATTCAAGAAGGAGCAATAAAACAGTATTATCAATCTCTAACCCTTGGAGGTGGCCCAAAACAGCAATATTGCCAAGTGTTGAATTTTCTTTGAGACCTCAATCTTACAATGATGGAACTTTAGATAGCTTTTATCTGGGATATATTTTTGCTAAATTGAAAAGAATCATGTATTTACTTATCTGAAAATCAGCTCAGGGGCATCTATTTATCACCATACATATATAAGATCTAAATTGTATTTCTAATTATACCCATAGTTATAACATTATCAAGCAGATTAATTCAAACCTTTGTAAATAAGCAGTTAGATTTCCTCTTTTAGGAGATGGCATAAAACAATAACGTTGCCAATAGTATTGAATTTTCTTTGAGAGATCTATCTTACAATGATGGAATTTTGGATAGCTTTTATCTGGGATTTATTTTTGCTAAATTGAAAAGAGTCATGTATTTACTTATCTGGAAATCAGCTCAGGGGTACCTATTTATGACCATACATATATGTTCATAAATGTATTTCTAACTATATATCATATCCACAGTTATAATATTAGCGTGCATATTAATTTAAACCTTTATAAATAAGCAGTTAGATTTCCTCTTTGCATACCCCCCAAAGGGCCAATCACAGATTGTCTAAGAGTGATTAATGCAATTTCCAGTTTGCTATAGCCCAATCTAGACTAGATGGAAGTCATGTAATCTGCTTTATCCATAGCCCAATGTAATTGCCACCCCACGCAAAGCAAAGCAAAGCAAAGCAAAGCAAAGCAAAGCAAAGCAAAGCAAAGCAAAGCAAAGCAAAGCAAAGCAAAGCAAAGCAAAAGCAAAGCAAAGCAAAGCAAAGCAAAGCAAAAGCAAAGCAAAGCAAAGCAAAGCAAAGCAACCTTTATTGTGCCATTAACCAGCTCTTTATAACTTTCCCTAGGAAGAAAAAGTTGGTGATAGTATGAAACACTGGATTTTTTGTTTTTGGGAAAAACGTCTTTTTCAAAGTTGGTACAATTAATGCTTTCTTCAAAGATGCATTCACATCTGGAATCTATCCCCTCTTGCAGCTAGTATCAATTATGAGAAACAGATCAAGCTCACAGGTGAGGGACTTCATCCTTGTTTCACAGGCTCAAACGTATCCTGGGTGATCTTTCAAGACTTTATGCCATTTCATGAAAGCCTATTCATCCAGGATCCAACTCAACAAATATGAACAAGTTTGTTTGCAAAATACAAATGTAAGCCACTAGTATATAAATGAGAGCAAACCTCACTCCCTTGTAGCATTCAGGATGTTACGTCTTTTGGTAATGAAATGTCTGCAAGAAAACAACCAAGCTCAGAGAGCAAGGATCCTACATTATTTTATGTTAGTCATTTCCAAACTTTCCCTGAATAGCTTGAAGAAAAGTCACCATGAATAATTTTTATTTTAACAGTAAGATATAATAATCACAAATACTTTTAAAAAGAAGTTTAATTGTGTAACAAGTGTATAATTATTATTCCCCTATTTTAAAATAGAAGGAGAACTCATCAAATTTGCAGATGACACTAAACTGGCAGGAATAGCCAACACCCCAGAAGACAAGCTCAGGATCCAAAATGATCTTGATAAACTTGAATAATGGGCCCTATCCAACAAAATGAACTTTAATGTAGAGAAAAGCAAAGTTTTACATTTAGGTAGGAAAAATCAAAGGTACAAGTACAGATTAGGCGAGACCTGGCTAAAAAACAGTAACCGGGAGAGGGACCTTGGAGTTCTAGTGGACGATCAATTGACTATGAGCCAGCAGTGTGCAGCAGCAGCCAAAAAAGCTAATACAGTCCTGGATTGTATGAACAGAGGCATAGAATCAAGATCACGCAAAGCATTAGTACCGCTTTATAAAACTCTAGTAAAATGATCAAAGACCTGGAGACTAAAACATATGAAGAAACGGCTGCAGGACTTGGGTTTGGCTAGTCTAAAGAAGAAATGGGCAGCATGATAGCAGTATTCCAGTATTTGAGGGGCTGCCACAAAGAAGAGGGAGTCAAACTATTCTCCAAAGCACCAGAGGGCAAAATAAGACAAGAAACAATGGTTGGAAACTGACCAAAGAGAGAAGCAACCTGGAATTAAGGAGAAACTTCCTAACAGTGAGGACAATTAACCAGTGGAACAGCTTGTCTTCAGAAATTGTGGGTACTCCATCATTGGAGGTTTTTAAGAAGAGACTAGACTCTGAAATGGTATAGGTTCTCCTGCTTGAGCAGGGGGCTGGACTAGAAGACCTCCAAGGTCCCTTTCAACTTCTATTCTATTCTATTCTATTCTTTTTTTTTTCAATATAAAATTTTTATTGTTTTCATCATAAAAAAAACAACACCAGTATTACACAATATTATTACACAATATTATATCCCACCCCCCGGACTTCCCAAACCAAATCCCAGGCTAATATTCAAATATAAGTAAACGAATATTAATTTCTCTAACTCCACAAACTCTATTATAAACAATCCATCTCCTCCATATTA